GAATGGACTCAGATTTTCTACAGCGTCTACATTGAGAAGAACACATTATTTTTGTAAATTGGCTGTTCAGTTATTCTAACCTGTCCATTCAGATCAGAGAAAATAGTGGTTGGCATGCAGCATTGTAGCAAAATCTGAGAAAAATAATACATAGACCTGCCTCTTAACCGTCCTTTAATACAATCACCACCGGTAGTATTTTTAAAATGCATGGCTATATGATTGAAGCAAACAGACATAAACCATGTGCGTCTAATCTTCCATAGTGCAGAGACATCCCAGTGTACCTCGAAGCCACCAACGCCTTTTTGACCGTGCAGATACAAGAAGAGGGAGTATATTGTTATGCACTGCAGCACTGAAAGAGGGGTATATTCACTGAAAATGATAGTAACCTATTGTGGGCTAAAAACAAGGCGTATCATACCATTAATGCACACTCACACACTGCACACGCAGCGATCACCGGTTGCCATTGATCACGTTGACGCGGATGAATGAATTAAAAACACAACCATCGCTGTGTGGGGATGCACGCCGTGGAAGTGTCTCGTGGATGCGTGTCCACTAACCTTTTATCCAGACAGCCGATCCACTCCGCCGTCGGAGACGAGTTGGGGGACGTGTGCACCGCGACCATCTTCCCCGGTCGTGTGTCGGTGAGCGCTGTGATGCTACCGGAGGATGTTTCCCGGTTGTCGGTGGTCGTTGGCTGCGCCCCCTCCCCGCCCCTCTGCCTCGAGCTACCTCACACAACTACTGGCTGCCGCTGCTGCCTTCATCATGGCAGTCTGCCCTTATAGGCGTTTTAAAGGGTCATCTGCAGGCAACTTAAAAAATAAAGATAGAATATATGTCAGTTGGAATAGTAGGCTACAACTGTGCAAGGATTATAATAAGCTTACTATAGGACATGTAATGCTTAGAAGTTAATTGTAGGCCTACTATTGGATACAGTCAGTAATCACAGTTGAGGTAGACAAACTACAATATTTCATCAAATTAAGGGATTTACCAGTGGTGCACACTAGGGTGGGGAGTGCAGGGCAAGGCATCACAAGTACCCCCTGTCATTTACTGTGGGTCGGCTCACTCATCACCTCTCTGGTCAGTTTGTGCTGTGAATTCAGCTTAAACATCCAACAGATCAGCAAACTACAAAGTGAGACAGAACATTGGAATGCAATTATAACAGATATATTTTCTGACAGAAAGTGATATTTCAACAGCGATTTTTTAAAGCAACTTGTTTGACAAATGTTCTGTTTGGTGCAAATTGCAGATAAATCGGCAGTCCCATAGATCTCCTGTATGCTCATGCCATTTGTATGGCTTTTGAATCGACAGGTAAAACATGTAATAATCAACAGACATCGAAATTATCTCATCTTGCAAATCACTCTTCCTCACTCCACAGGATAAAATGATCGATTGTGAAGTCCAACTCCCAGTGTTGTAGCCGATATAAAACTAAAGCCTGCCAGGTCTGGCTATAAACCGGGCTAATATTGTGTAGTGTGAAAACAGCATTAAACAACTCTTGGGATTCTTGAAAATGCTGTGTATTGTAAACAATGTTGCATAAAAAATATTCCCCACAGTAAAAACCCAAGCAATAGTTTCAATAGGATGAGTCACCTTCAGAGGAATTGTGAGATAGCAGGGAGCACAGATGTGGATGCAACAAGAGGGACAGGAAGAGGTATAATAAATATAGAAATGTGTACTTTATGCAAATAAGGGAGAAATGGGTCAGGAAATATCAAAGTGATCTACCAAAAGCTGACAGAAGGATAAGTGGCAGACTGTGGTTACAAAATGTTGACTACTGAAGAATGACTCATCAAATTGGCTTTCAACAAGCTCCTTATGAATAAAAAAACACTATTTACAGATTGTTATGGGCCTAAATTAAGATCAGTGCAAGATACAGCTGCTGTGTCCTTGAAGGATGCCTCATGTGAAATGGTGTACGAACAATAACAAAGCAGTGTTAGTTTCACTTGTTTTGATTCAACCCAAGTGATACGAAAGAGAGATGCAGCCTGTCACCAGGATGAGTGCAACCACCGCAGTAAAGGGAGAGAGAGAGGGAGCGGGGGATGAGGATGAGCAGGGAGGTTTTAAGCATCCAGCGTTACCTAAAACCATTACTTATGTTCCATGCATTCTCTAGCTGAAAATAAGGGGTTACAGAGAGGCGGGAGAAAAGAAGATTCAAAAATAAATTCAGGGATCTGCATTTAGTGGCTGCTCTGAAAGGAATGGGAGGTCAGATACAATGAGGAGGACAAGGACTGTTTTTAACGTAATAAAAGAGTAAAGTAAGGAAGGAGAAGAGTTACTGATGCGTCTCAAACTCCTCCGCTAACATTAAGACATGTGTTGTGCTGCATCAGGTGAATTCAGTGTGCAAATGTGTGCACCTGTTGCAACTGTGTGTATGTGTTTGTGTGTATGTGTTTGTGTGCGTGTGTGCATGTGTTTACGGTTGCCTTACTGCATCTGTTTGAAATGGCACTTTAGCATGCATGACTGTAATACTGGAGGGTGATTGAGCAAGTTTTTACCATGATGTTGAAATGCAGTGTGCATGCATTAGTGTGTTTCCGAGCCAGCTGTCTAAGAATTCTATTTTTAAAATATGCTTTGTCAAAGATTTTGAGAAAAGTAAAGCTTAATTACTATAGCATGACAACAATTGAAGTGTATCTATTGATATTCAAAATGTGTCTTGCAGAATCCATCCACTGATCCAATCCATTTAAATGTTTTTCATCAGGGGTTTGACTGGGTTCCAAAATCACAGCACATTTTCTACCCAAGCTGTTATCTAATGCAGTAAATGCAAAATAAATGTGCATCTGACGATTCTTCAGGATGTAAATATAAATCCTGAAGCCCTTCACAGTTTGACAAAGATCAGTTATAATGCGTTTGACCATGGAGAGAATTTAATCAATAACTCGGTCATTGTTAGTGCAAAGCGCAACATATTAATCCACGAAGAATCGCATCATTAATGATGTTGTTTATAAATGTGCAGTTCTCTCATTTAGACACAAAGTGGCAGTATTATTGTTTATGGGTTCATAAATGCACCACCACAATGCAACACTTGAGCTATAAAAGGCTATGCCACACTGATAAACAGCACCGTACAAAAGGGTGCAGAGCTGCAGAACTGCAACATAGTGCTTTGCCCATTTAAAATGCTGACTTGTGTGTTCATCCCAGAGCAGAAAGTGTGTGTGTGTGTGTGGTGTGTGTGTGTGTGTGTGTGTGTGTGTGGTGTGTGTGTGTGTGTGTGTGTGTGTGTGTGTGTGGTGTGTGTGGTGTGTGTGTGTGTGTGGTGTGTGTGTGTGTGTGTGTGTGTGTGTGTGTGTGTGTGTGTGTGTGTGTGTGTGTGTGTGTGTGTGTGTGTACACATGTCTGCATTTAAATCCTCAGAGAATGGAGTGAAATTCCCCTATGAAGCTGGGAAACTCTAAATATGGTTGACTGAACAGATAACCATATGGGGCATGACTGTCTGCCAAATCCAGGCTACATGACACACACGCACACATACAAACGTGCACACACACAGTTAATATCATCAGCTGTCAGACAGTATAAAGTCTAAAGAATGCAACTGTCCTCTCCACTTAATTTGACTCTTTAAATGAACAGTGTTGACGTAGGAGCAGTTCATTAAAGCAGGACTGAAATTACAATTTGTATTACAGCCACACAGATGATGGATTTTTGATACAGATGTTAACATTTGTATGTACATAAATAGGGGTCATAAACATTTTACAAGGGTCACTTGAATGAAAAAAATCGTATGAAAAAGTTGTTAAATGTACCCAGTTTGAAATATAAGTGTAAAATAAATGTATTTATTTCAGGCAACATGTAAAAAAATTAATTAAAAACATTTGTTTCTTGTTATCTATTATCAAACACCTGATACCAATGTGTCTGTGAGGTTCTAATAGAATTTAGATTGACAGCAAAACGTGCTTGTGTGTAATTAATTTGCATTTGCTGTAATTGAAAGGTAAAAGGAAGTTATCTCTTGCACACCCTAGTCATTCCTTTACCTGCACAATCATCATCACCATCCAGCTCAACAATATACGACTCTCCACAAACCGAAACAGAAGGGCAGTCGTGGCATTCCTGCCATGCTCACTTTTGAAAAGAAACCCTATGTGAGCCATAGGAGGAAAGAACACCAACTTGTGAAAAAGTCAAGGTGACCTGCTGCTGGTGAGGGAAATGGGATTTGAGGATTATGTCAGCACACACAGATCCCTGTATTTCTCATTTTACCCGCCATTGATTATAAATACCACTGCTGAGTTAAAAAGAGGGCATTTTCTATTATTCCTCAGCAGCTTGCAAACACCATAATTTACTCACGAATACCACTCAATTCATATGATTGCCTCCCTCTTTCACATTTCCACTGCTGCTACCAATCCAGGTTACATTTCTGCCTCCAGTCTTTGTCTCTGCCTCACTCACTTTCTTGCAGCCTATAACTCTGTAAATGTACTCTGCCACCCACCCTGACATCACTCCCTCATTTTCAATCTACTTCATTTCACTCCCCTCCCTTCCCCTCCCTCCTTTGGTTAGCCTCATTTAGAAGAAGGCTTTTGTGATTGGCCAGTATTTATATCAACTAGGTCCCAGTGCCACCTGGGAAAAATGGTCTCCAGTCAGATCCAGGTCACACTGAGCAGAACCACTCTTTTGGGTCTGCACGGTTCAGTCCAGTCCAGTCCATCTGCCACACAAGCCAGATTCACAGCCAGACATAGGTACTGCACCGACTCTCCCACTGGCATCATCACACACACAGGTAGGAAGTCACACATACACACACACGCACACACACACATATCAGCAGGTGCTGCATCACTGCTCTCGTTTGACTCACAGACAATCACACACAGGTAGACAGTGTGAGATCTGGCTGACTTCGCATCATGCACACAGGTGAATTTTCACACACAGCTTACCTCTGAGCCAAGGAGAACCTCTGTCAGTGTGGTAACGGTTGACACAGCAGATGGCAACGCTTGCAGGGATGCTGAAAGACAGGTAGAGGTAGGTGCATGTATCAGCAACCTGCATGTTTGATAGAAGTGTGGTATACAACTACAGTAGATCATATGCAAAGTTTATGATGCAAAATGATATTGGATATAATGGAGACACACAGTAAAATGGCAATAACAGCAGTATTTGTTATGATAGAAAGCATCACAGACATCATATTATCTTTCATTCTTAAACTTCTAAAAATAGTCATTTAACATAATGTAACAATAATTGGAGTTGCCTAAACTGTGACTAAAATGTGCAGACTTCCTGCTGTAGTTAAATGAATGTCAGGGCACAAATATATTTGAACCCTCCTACATGTAGGCTAAATTGCCCTTATGCTGGTACACCGTCAGTGTTGCACAGTTACTGGAGTAGTTTACACAGGATTACCGGAGGATAATCCATGTACAGTATTTAGAGACATGAGTCGCCATCTGTCTGTATTTATCACAGCGAGGGAGCCGCCAGCACCGGCTGTCTGCAAACAAACATTGGTAGGCTACGATAAGGAGGATAGTATAAGAAAACGCTTCGCAGCTACCTTAAATGCTAATTAGTCAGGTTATTTTTGTCCGGTTGTTGTCATTCTGGGCGACCCAGCGTCTGTCACGACCTTTAAACTGCGCGCGCACTACAGCCAGGTGCGTAAAATGTGATGCCTTTAAAAGCTGTCGTAAACTTCTGCTTCTCTCATAGCGTGTGGCCGATTTATACACATGTAGCATCGATGTAAATCGAACAAAAACATTGTGGCTTTGTATCATCGTGTACTGAGGGATTACAGTGAAGAGAAAGGTAAAACCCACCAGTCTTCAAATTGAGGTTAAGTAACGCTAATTAACTTAACTAAAATTCAGTAAACAAAACTGAAAGGGACAAATACCAGTCTCTGTTCCTTATGTGACGCATAATGGCAAGATATTAAGAAAGCAAATTCAAAACGACTGATGTAAAATGTGGCTTTCTTCCCAGAGATGTTTACAACATACCTGTGTAGCCTTCTGTTACCCTTAATGTTCCGACCGCACGCGAAAGCAGCGGATTCTAATTTCTGCTACAAACTATTTAATGCGTGTTCTGCTGGGAACGTGTTTTTTACTTTGATCAGAATCGTTAAACTTCCCGTTTCGCAGTGAGTACAAGTAGCCTACTGAGCCTGGACATTGGTCATTTTAGCATTATCAATGATAACTGCAAATCATCACCAGTAACCGAAGCCACTTCATAGTTTGTCTTGGCAGTATTTGTTTGGTTGTGCCAATTAAACCCGGATTAGTGTGTTAATGTGTGTTTTATTTTTTTTTGTTTCATTATCTTAATTGAATTGTCAGCCTTTGCACCATGAGGTCATTCTTACAATGTCTTCCCAACAAACAAATATATAAATACTTTCTCATTCCATTCTTCCAGGACACTCTTGCTGAGTGGTGGTGAATTTATATGGGAAGGACTACCTGATCACAATGACGTTTCAAGACACTGCCTTCGTCACCTGCTGTTATCAAACAAATGCAGTTTAACCTCTTAAAACTCAATGTCCCTGCATTTCCTGCTTAATTGCTAGAATTCCCAGCAATTACATAATCTGACTGCTCAACACATCATCAGGTGCTCTCATTAGTTTTGAGAAGCCCCTCCACCTTCCCTGATGATGCGGACAGACAGCAAAGGCCGAAGCGCCTCCCCGCACCGGATAACCTATAAGTCTGACTTCCACGCCATCAAATGTTCATTCGACTCTGCGACCAGTCTACGACCTGGGCCCAAAGCTACCGCTGCCCAGCTCTCTGCTGTGCACCCAGCCAGGCTTCCTTCCAGCCTGTCAGATCACATAATGTCCAGCAGCACAGGCAGCAGAGGGCGAGTCCACAGCACCAGGGGGACAAAGATCAGAGACAACATCTTCCTGCAAATGGACAACCAGCAGCTGAATCAAGAGGTTCCTGTGCAGAGTTCTGGCTCAACACCCCTTCTTCCTCCCAATAACTCCACCCCACTGCTTCAAACTTCACCTTTCTCTACATCCAGACTTTCTATTATCAGTTCCTCGTCTGCTTTGAACTACACGGCAAACCTTTCTATTCCAGAATCTTCTCTGCAGGATAAATCACCCAGATCAGAGGAGATTGCTAATATTGACAGAGCTGCTCTGGCCCAGAAATTTTCTGTAACCCGGAGGTTGTTTGAGACCAAGAGGATGGAGGATGGATGTGACGGAGGGCTGGCTTCAAAATGTGTTGCTGGCAGAGGAAGCAAGGGAATGGCAGATGAAGAAGGGATCGGAAAAGTTAACCAAGAGGAAAGAGAGGAAGACAAAAATGGGAAAAGGAGTCAGGCAGAGGAGGATAGCTTTGATAAAGACAAATCAATAAACCTACCCATCATAAATAATTTCCTGGAGAACCCTCCTGCACAGGCCTCGCTGACAGAGCACCCTAAATCTCCTGCATCGTTCGGCCCTAGTGAATCATCCAACACATCTCCCTCCTGTCTTCACAAACATGGTCAAACCACAGGATCACAAACGGAGGAAGAAAGAACAGCAAGCACAACCCTTGACCCCTGCTTGACCCCTGAGGATTCAGTGAGAGCAGAACTAGTGGACGTAAAGAACGGGTCATCTGAAAGTGATGACAATGACGAAGAGAAGGAGGGGGGAAATGTCAAAGACAGGCTTATGGAGGAGTCGGGAAAGGACATGTACAAAGTTGCAGGGGAACGTGTTCAGGAGCTGGTTGATGATGTTTTTGAAGAGCCCAGCATGTCATGTAAAATAGAGACAAAGCATGACAGGAAAGGTGGCAGAGACAAGTATGAGCAGGTGAATGAAGAAGGGGAGGGGCAGAACGGAGAGTTTATTCCACTGACTGAGAAGTCAACAGAAACAAGGGACAACGTGGAGAAAAAGACTGTTGCCGGAGTGGAAGAAAATGCTGGAATGACAGAAAGAGACATGATGCAAGAGGAGGGTAATGACAAAGAAGCTGAGAGATGCAGTGTGGCGAACAAGAAGGGTGGAGAAGAGGAATATAAACCAAGCCATGGAGAGGTCAAATCTGAAGAAGTAGAAGAGGGAACAACTTCCGAGCTGCAAGAGGAGGTCAAGCATGTGGAGGAGAGAGAGCGTACTGATGGAAAAGAGGATATAGGAGGAGGAAAAGAGGACCAGACAGGATCTGAAGTTACTTCTTGGATTGAAAACGAGGCTTTCGTTCATGAGCAGCAATCTCCGTCTAATCCAGAGACCTCTATCCATGGACATTTGCATTTATTGCAATATGAGGAAATTCCTGGTTTGCCTGAACTGGACAATCGGGAGGAAGACGAGGAGGAAGGGAAAGCAGAAGTGGCAAAGAGAAAGGTCAGGTTCACCTCCGCACCAATCAAGGTAAAATAAATCTTTAAACTAAAATCACACGTGTTGGCCTTTGTTATGTATTTAGTTGACAGCTGCAGGGTCCCTTGTCTCTTATGTCATGCTTTTACTGAAGCCTTTTATAGTAGATTTGTGTGACTGTCAGTTCCAGCTGGGTTTTGAATCCACATAAGAGAAGTGTTAGCCCAAAGCCATGTTTCTAATCCATTAGAGGCGGAGGAAAGGCAAGATCCCACATGCTTCCCCTCACTCTGTCAGCACGCAGCTCAGAGTAGCCTCAATATGTAAAAGCACAGAAAACATTCCTGTGTGTGGCTTGGCTCATTACACGATATTGCAGTTTTATCTATTGGTGACGTATACAAGTTGAGTGTGTACATTTTTATTTTGTTGTGCAATTTTCTAATTACGCTTGCATAGTTTCATTTTTTTCTGCACTTCCTGGTTCTCACCCTCACACTCTTGACAGATTGGCCAACATAAACAGCTTCTTGTTGTGTCGATAGCTGCAGATGGTTCTCCTCTGTGGTGAACACATTAATAAGCGACCAATGCATACAGGAGTATTCTCAGCAAGCATACGTTTGACATCAGTGTTAACATAAACCAAGGCTGTCACAGTCAACTAATATTTATTTTGTATTTAACCAGATAAAAGCATTGAGATTAAATCTAATTTTCAATGCTGACCTGACCAAGAAGGCAGCAACGTTACACATAACACAAACATATAAAATACAGAGAACATAACTAAGAAAACAAAAGACGAAAAAGCGGTCACTACATTGTGCACATTAGGACAGTAAGAAAGGTACACTACTTATTTCTGCAAGAGCAGCTGGTGGTAAGGACTTCAGACAACTTCAATTTAAAACATGCTATTGAGACAAGTACCCTCAGTTTTAGGCAGGTACCTCGAACCGTATCCAGGCACTGGATCTGAGGTTGTGAGAGTCACAAACTGGAGCAAATCTGGCACATATGTACAGTGGAAGCTTACCTAAAATGGCTTTATACATTAATAAAAAACAATTTCTGAAATGTTATGCTTAGATTTGCAGATTTGGCATAACCTTATTTGAAAAATCTTCTTAATTTAGTCTGAAATGTTACGTTTACACACATTCTAAGGAGGCGTTATCTTTAACTTTTGGTGAATTTTTGCGAATTCTTCAGGCGCCAAAAGTGTATTGAGACATTTTTATTTTCATTTTAAACTAGGCTGAGAGAAGAAAATAGTCCAAAGTGCAAGAACATTTTAGATTTTTCCTGTCGTGTCTCTCCCTAAACAGTATATTTTATGCTGTTTTCCAGGTGTACAACACTTATTCTAACGCGGAGTACGACAGACACAATGAGGACATTGACCCGGTGTCTGCATCGGCTGAGTTTGAGTTGGAGAAGAGAGTGGAGAGAATGGATGTCTTCGCTGTGGAGATAGAGAAGGGTGAGAAGCTGCTCGTTCACGCTGTCCGTCTACTTTTTGCTTACGTTTGCTTTTTGGTGTCCATATGTGTGTTCAAGTCCACATCAGTTATGATATATTATTTCTGGGATTTGGACATCCAGTGGCATATTTCTGAGAGATCTTTTATGCATAGAGAATCAATTGTGTTAGTTAAACAAGGCTGATTGATAATAGGTCAAAACAAGGTCATAACCCTCCACTCTTATTTCAAGTACTATGTTTCTCCTGAGGATGCTTTTATGTTCCCCTGACTAATGTTGTTATTAAAGGTTACATTTCTCAAATATTTTCCCTCTAGAAAACGAGGGTCTGGGCATCAGTATAATAGGAATGGGTGTAGGAGCTGACCAGGGACTGGAAAAACTAGGTATCTTTGTGAAGACCGTCACTGAAGGAGGAGCAACACAGAAGGATGAGAGGTACGTTTCATCAACACCAGACTCTTATTTACTGGGAATGTAGTGTGTTTCTAATGACATATTTTCTTTAACTCTGTGTTAGGATTCAGGTGAATGACCAGATAGTGGAGGTGGATGGGGTGAGTTTGGTTGGAGTCACCCAGCTGTTTGCTGCCACAGTCCTCAAGAATACGTCCGGCGTTGTCAAGTAAGTTTTTATGTACATTTTTAAAAAGGTGTCAGCAAATTGGAATGACGGGCGAATGGTGTGTTGCTTGGGAATGTGGGATGACATTACGTTGGTAAAGGATGGTCCATTGTACCTTATGTTGAATTAGGCAAGAAAGCATTAAAGCTTGTATCTTACAAAAAACCCTCATTTGTTAGTATTGTTCCCAGTATTTGTAAACATGCTGCTGCTAATTTGGGAGTGATGCAGTGTGAGGTCTTTGGAGGCTATTACAATCTGATCAGTGACAGTCAGACTTCTAGATGTTATTTACATAATTGGAGTTATTTAAAGATGAAACGGTAGTTGCAAGATAAAAATATGTTTTTCTCCCCTTAGATGTTGTTTTTTTTTTTTTAAAAGGATGTTTTTGGCCTGACAACAACACATGATATACACTTGGACACCTGACATGAGTCTATCACTGTTTTAAATTGCCTATCAATCTTTAAGATACAAACAAAAAACTCTCCATTGGCACTTTCAAGACTCTTTCTAAACATGAAAGGGATGATTCAAGCAATGCTTTTAATGCCACATGAACATCTCCTTTTTTTGTCCTCTAAAATGGAGGTTACAAAAAAGTGAATGTGAACACCATAACACTTTTGGATATCTTAGTGACTCTCAATGCAAGACATACTGCAACATCATAATGGGTATTTTTTCCAAAGGTCCTGTAGTCATTTCACAGAAGGAAAATGTATGAATTAAATGGTGTTTTGTATACTTTCACACTATCATAACGCTCTGTGCCGTCGTTAGGCAAGGCAAGGCAAGGCAAGGCAAGGCAAGGCAAGGCAAGGCAAGGCAAGGCAAGGCAAGGCAAGGCAAGGCAAGGCAGGCAAGGCAAGGCAAGGCAAGGCAAGGCAAGGCAAGGCAAGGCAAGGCAAGGCAAGGCAAGGCAAGGCAAGGCAAGGCAGGCAAGGCAAGGCAAGGCAAGGCAAGGCAAGGCAAGGCAAGGCAAGGCAAGGCAAGGCAAGGCAAGGCAAGGCAAGGCAAGGCAAGGCAAGGCAAGGCAAGGCAAGGCAAGGCAAGGCAAGGCAAGGCAAGGCAAGGCAAGGCAAGGCAAGGCAAGGCAAGGCAAGGCAAGGCAAGGCAAGGCAAGGCAAGGCAAGGCAAGGCAAGGCAAGGCAAGGCAAGGCAAGGCAAGGCAAGGCAAGGCAAGGCAAGGCAAGGCAAGGCAAGGCAAGGCAAGGCAAGGCAAGGCAAGTTTATTTATATAGCACTTTTCAACACAAGGCAATTCAAAGTGCTTTACAAAAAATGAAAGAGGTCGTTAGAGGTATTGGCAACACCTGTGCTCCTCTGGTTGGGTTGATTGCTCACAGCTTAGACTGATTTTGCTGCTCGGCTCCAGGTTTCTGATTGGCCGAGAGAAGGAGGGTGTGGAGAGCGAGGTGGCACGACTGATCAACGAAAGCCTGGAAATGGATGAAACACCCAGAAAGGTTTGTTTTACTATTAAAAAAAAAAAAAAAAGCGCTGCTGTTTCGATCGTGTTCACAATCCTTTGTGGTGTAATTGTAGTGTTTTTTGTTTGTATGTTTTCATATATGAAGAGTGAAAGATCAAGTGGGGATGAGGAACATGATCGTAGCATGTCAGAGAAGTCAGCGGAAGAGGAAGAGGAAGAGGAATATGAAGAGGTGGACATGTCTGTTCTTTCCAATCTGGACAACGACCAGCTTTGTTTCAAATACCTGCAGGTACTTTACATTCAACATGGATTTATTAATCTGAAACTATGCCTTGTTCTTCTTTTCATCCGTTGAGATGCTCAGTACTTTGAATCAAATGATGTTTTACTTTTTAAAATGTGACAAATTGTTAAACAGACACTGTTTTCCTTTTTAATGTGCCATATTTACGATTACAAATATCATACTAAATAATTGAGAACTTCCATAAACCAGGTATGTTAGGAAAGTGTACACCAAATCCTATTTTGGATGTCAGTCAATGATAAATTAAATAGGATTTCTAAAAGAAGAATCTCTCAAAACAAATACTGACACTTAGGAGTATAAAAAGGTAATTGTTTTTCCTTCTTTTACAAACATTGTAATGTTATGAAATTAATCTTCCCCCTTTTCTTGTCTCTTGCAGCTTCAGTCAAAACTACAAAGCAAAGCGTCCCAACTTCATTGCGCTAGAGAAAAGGTAGGTCAGCTGACATCAACTGAGATCGCTCTCAAACACAATCCAAAAACTGAACTCACTTTACTATGCTACCTTTTGCATCCACTTTTAGAACAGTCTGACCCATTTAAGTGTGAGATGGCTCTGTTGTAGAGTTACTAGGACACGGGCCGCGTTCCAACACTTCGCTATGACGGCCCGCTTTTTCTGCCTTTGCCTTGAAGTAATCACTGCTGTGACATAATTGGGTTGGCGACAGCATTTCAGAAGGAAAATCTGGCTTTGTTCTACCCAACTGTTTTAGAACAGTTGGTACTTCATTTGTTGTGTCAAAACTTGTGAAGTAAGAGGATTTAAGAAGTGTACAATTTCTCCAAATCTAAGAATAGTTTTTGGCATGTGTGACGTTTGAAACAAAAGGGCCTTTTTTTGGAAGCCCTTTCTTTTCCCTTGTGCATAAGAAATGTATTGCAGCCTTCCACAAAAACACACAAATTACTTTTACTTTATTTTTGCCAAGTTAAAGGAATGGGAGGAGCAGCAGGCCCATTGGCAGGACCAGAGAGACGAACTGGAGCAAATAGTGCAGGATGGAGAGGACAAAGCCGACAAACTAGAGAAGTACAATGCTATTTTCTATAGCATATCAAAGAATGTTATTTTGCCACTGTCTATGATAGAGGACTAATACAAAAACAGCTTCAAGTGGGACCCTAATGCCTGCACAAGGATAATGATGTAAAGAATCATTATGAAGACAATGATGCTTAATAAGCCCCCGTACTCTCTTTATCAGGTACTGGCAGGAGGCCCAAACCCTGTGCAGGGTTGTGAGCCAGCGACTGGCTGATGCCCAGAACCAATCAGAAAGCTTGGAGATCAAATACAGCAAGGCCAAGAGACTGGTCCGAGAATACCAGAACAGGTATTCAATTAATCCAGTTTGTCTTTACCAACATTTGAAATAATGTTACCAGGAGTGTATGCTAGTAAAAGTGTGGTTTTCAAATGAGTTTCAGAGAAGAGGAGAGGGAGGGCAGAGAAGCAGATTTAAGAAGAGAAATGGCAGAGAAAGATAAGCTGCACAGAGAGACAGTTGAAAGACTGCAAATCCAGGTGAGAGGAGACTTCTCAGTCCTGTATGGATCTGCTTTAGTGAGCCTGCCATTTCCCTGTAGTCATTGTCGCTCACTGCTTATCTCAGATAGCACAGCTAGAGGGGAAAGAGCCTGGAGAAGAGAGGAAGAACCACTCTCTGGACACTTCAGTCACAGGTAAGCAGCTGAATTACAGTAAGTGTAAAGTGTGCAGGTTAATGGGGCTATATTTCTCTTTGACACTGTGTAGCTGCTGGCAAGTAAAAGTGAAAAACAAGTCTAGTGTTACGGTTTGATGTTTGAAACAATCTAATACTAGTGAGAAAATGAAACCTTATGAATACAAATTAATTGTGTGTGTCTCAGGTCCAGACTGGTGCATTCTGGTTCCTGATACAGGACGTCTAGACTCCAGTGCTCACAAAGCCAGAGCTCAGCTGGCCCAGAAATCCAAGCGGCACCCGCCCTCTCGGGACAAACTCAGAAAGAGCTTTAGGAAGCGGGTAGGAGACAGGGTTGTAAAGTTTTGCTACACTAAATATGCTTCTTTCTGGCTTTGAAACTCAAACATATCGCTTTGTTGCTTTTAGGAAGATGAGATTCAGAAACAACAGGAGAGTCTATCGCTGTCTGCTCCCGCGATGACCCAAAGGAGCAGCAGGAGTGACCTGTCCAGCACTTCGTCTTTCTCAGGCCTCAGCTCTCAACTTCCAAACAACTCTGTCTTCACCCCTCCCATCTACATCAATGACACCGGCAATACTTCACCCTGCAAATCCTCCGCTTCCAGAAAGTCCAAAAAGAAATTTCCTGACTTTAGGTGAAGGGTCTCCGACTGTTTCTTTGGTCTTAGATTTAGTTCATGATGCCATCAAATATTTATTAATATTCTCTGATGAAAAATTCATAATAGTTTAGATACAATACCAGCTCCCATTTAGTGATGACACTGACTCACTGCTTTGCTGTTGCTATACTTGCTCCTGAGACTTTTTTGATAGCTAGAGTCTGTTTCTTTTTCAGTGGTCTTCGCAAGTCTCTTAACAAAAGGAGAAGTGAAAAACACGGCAAAGGGTCCATAACCAACAGGTATGAAATCGCATACACACAAAAAATTGTTTTATTCAATAGTAAGTTAGCTTTATTTGATGTGGTTAACAAAAAAAGCCATTGGAAAAACAGACAATACCAACTAATCACTCTAGACAGTATTTAAGCTACATCCCATTCAACCACCTCTTTTGAATGTCCTCTTTTGGCAGGAAATGGCAGATAATGATTAATAAAGATCTAGCAATAAACTGTTTTAGCTGGACAAGAACCATGTGGTCTTGTCATGTCCCTCTTTAAATCCAATTGCATAAAGGACATTTTTAAAAAAATGGGCGCTGTCACATTTTAACTGAAATGTAACCCTTGTTCCCCACCAGAGGGTCGTATGGTGACTTGGTGGATGAGCCCGATGGCATTTCTCCGTCAGGTTCCGTCACCTCCATGCCATCCTGCTTGCCCTTCCCCTGGTTTGGAGAGCGAGGGAGAGAAAAAGAGGGGGAAGGTGAGAGAGGAAGGGAGAGACTGCGCTCTGTGTCCAGCAGCAGCTTACCCTACCTGACCACCAGGGGCAGGAGAGATCAGGTAAGAAAAGAGAGTTACAAAGTGTGAATTATCTTTCCCTACATGCCTTCCTCCTCCTTTTTTCAGAACTTTTCAATCTAAAAATGGGTGTAGATATCTTTTTAAACAAACATGTGCATGGGTAAGCATGTCACCGATGTAAAACAGTCAGGCAGCCGTGGTGTCTTTCTCTTGTCTCCAGAGTATTGGCTCTCCAGTGGGCAGCTCCAGCATGGTGGGTCATGTCTCTGTTGTCTCCCTCTCTGGACACTCTCAAACTTTCACCTTTTCCTCCACTGAGGTGAGTCTGTCCCTACCTTCCTTTTTTATTTCTGTCTTACTTCTTACCCCTAGAGCACTCTTCGTCCCATCATTTTGTCTGCCCAAGCATACGCTTGTGTTTTTTTATTTCCTTTTCATTTATCATGTATTACAAAAAGTAAATTACGGATTTGGTGTCCTACACCACTCTCGCAATCGTTTTACGCTCAGTGTCTGTAAGAGAGTTGCTTCTAAACGTATTCTTCCGATTATGGACTATTGTGATGTTGTCTACCAAAATGCACATAAATCAGATCTTGCTCCACTTAACACAGCCTATAATAGACTATGCAGATTTGTTCTTGGTTGCCCTTTTCGTACACGTCACTGCACAATGTATAACAGACTTAAATGGCCTTCATTAAATGTAAGATGACTCATGCATTGGCTTCAACTTAAATTTAAATGCATTTACTTTAACTATCCCCCTTATTTAAAGCAATATTTTGTGCCTTACTCGTCAAATTATGAAGTTAGACACTGTCCAGATTTATTTCTCTGTCCCCTCTGCAAAAAAATGTATTGGCAGAAGAGCATTCATGTTTACTTTGCCTACTGTTAGATCCCTTGCATCATTGGGTATGTTTAAGCATGCATTATCATCTCACTTTCAGCTGGTCTGCTCTTGTTATTGATGAAACTGATCTATTTGACACTACTGTCTTATCAAATTGTAATGATTGTATTTATTACTTCATGAATTTTACTTAACAGACTGTACGTGGTTTGTCATGCTTTGCTTTGTTATTTTGTTCACGTATGAATGTAAGACGTTGCTTTTGTCGGGACCCTCTTGAAAACGAGATGGTGCATCTCAAGGGGTTTATCCTAATAAATAAATGTCTATATACTTCTCCCGTTCTCCTCACCCTGTCTGCTTATTGTCCCTGATGTCCTGTCAGACGTTGGACGATGACCCAAATCCAACCAATAACAACAACCAGTGGCAAAATCGGCCCATCTCGGAGTGGGACAGCCAGCAGGTGTGTCTGTGGTTGATCACTATGAACATGGAGGAGTACGTGCCACAGTTTGCTGCCAGAGGAGTAGACGGGACACAGTTGATAAACATGGACACCGACAAACTCAAGGTGAGCAGATGACACTGTGATTGAACATTTTCAATAGTCATGTTTTTAAACTTCAATACAACCTTGTTGAAACAACTACTGCTGCCAATTATGGGAAGACAACATATCCACATGCTGTTATCACTTTTTCTGTCATCTGAGATTACAAACTGGGCCATGTACCTTACTTACCTTACTTATTTGGATGATATCATGGTGTCTTTCATTGTTATTCACACAATTTCACATTTTGTATACATGCATTGAATGTTTGCCATATAAGATGTTTAATTTCTGCTAGGTAACCAAATTCACTTTTCGCATGTGTTGTATTTTTTTTTTTCTCATCTGCCATCCTTCATATTAGTTTAAAATCTGGATCGCGGTCTATTTTCTATTAAACATAATTGTAAAACCTTTATACTTATCAGTCAACATACAGTATATGGTCATACTATTATCTGAGATGTTATACAGTTTGCCATGCTCATGTATCAAGTTTTTATGTATGCTAAGCTCGACTAGTAAGGACTTAAGTCACTTTTGTTGCCAGTTGTTACTATACCTAATATTGTAAAGTTTAATCATTTAAATCTATTTTTTTTTTTAAAAGGGCATTTTACATCAACCTGTCAAAAAATCTATGTATATTCTTTCTAAGTTTCCATGCCCTGGTTTTTTCTTTTCTGTCAGGCTCTTGGGGTGTGCAGTCAAAGTGACCGGTCTGCCCTCAAGAGGAAGCTGAAGGAGATCAAGAAAAGAGGGGAAAAGGAACTGAAGAAAGGCGAGAAGAAGCAGGAAAAGGAGAAGAACATAGTTTTGCATACGGAGGGAGAAGACAAAGAGCAGGTGATGGTGGAGAAGTGTGTGAAAGATGCCAGACTCGGTGTCAGAACTGAGTCACTCTTATAAAAGGAGAGACGGAGGTGATGTCGGAGATACACCACCAGCAGCAGGAGTGTGTGTTTGCAGCCCAGCAAGCACCACAGATGGACTTGAACCAATTTTATATTAAGTCAATAGAAACAGCTAGAACTACTCCGCACATCCTATATTGTTCACATCTTAAAGCTATCATTTAGGATACAGAACACTTCTTGTTTGAATTGATAGACATACTTGTTGGACCAGCACCAAAATTCACACCCACAACAGCAGTTATGTATCTCTTTGTGTGTGTCTTAAGTGTTTCTTTTTTTATCTTGTAAATTATTCTTATCATTTTAATATTTAACAATGTGCTGATTTAAGCACTCAGGTGTTTGCTGTAAATGCTTTTTTATGTATTAATAAATAACATTTTAAATAATCCTTTTGCTTTGAACTCAATGATTTGACACAAACACATTGACATGACAACATTTATTTATTCAAGAAACTATTTTGCTCGTGTTCACACTCTTCCCATTTTACAGCCAGTGAATAGAAAATGAATTCAGCGGGGAAGTAGTACATTCAAAACGAGTCCTGGAAAACTCTTATGTACAACCCAAGGTATTAATTATCAACAGTTTAGGAAGATGCACTGTAGACATTTTTATTTTTAAATGGTGAAAAACACAGATTTGTTGAAATTTGCTGTGTTTGTTCAAATGACTCTTTTGCCTGTAAGGCACGTAACATTAAGTACTCCTCACCAAGAATAAATAGAAAACAATTCTGCAAACCATTAAACATTTTTTTTTAAAAAGCTCCCTCTGTCCAGCCCCCCCAAGTCAACACTGAATGTAGTAAATGTACAAAACAAAGCTCTGACGGACAGCAGTTGTGCAGGAAGATCGCCCACAATGCAACTCTCCTTCCAGTGATGTATACAGACTGCACGAGATCAATTCAACCCCTGAAGCAAAAGTGTGATCAAGAATTTGGTCTTACAAATGTTTTTCTCTTTTAACAAATTATTTACTTTGTTATTTACAATCCACTTTGTACAAAGACAAGGCAGGGGAAATTAGTGAAAATGTGAGTTCATCAGTATAAAAAAAGGAAATCTGTGTGGATCAGATCTCACTGTTAGGAAAAATGTTCTTTGTCGTGCCAGGTTGTCATCCAGGGCTTCTTTTCCACGTTTTCCCAGTTATCAGTCACAGGGTTTGGCGGTCTCTCCTCCCGTCTTATCCGAACAGCGTTGTAACTTGGAACCTTGTCTTCATATTTGGCACGCTTAAAAAATGCACACTGAAGAAAGGGAAAACGGAATCAATATTTTGTTCAGGGAAAATGGCTATTTAAAGGCATTTAGAGGAAGCAAAGAGGGTTGAAGAGACATTTATTGTCATGAGTCCATTTGACGGGCAATAGCCAATATGCAGTGAAACCATTAAGGGTGTAGACAAACCATCAGCACTCCTCTTAAAGAAAGAAACAAGTTTGCCCCGGCTTTTAAATAAAGAGAGAAAGGCACCTTCAGACCAAGTCACTGCAAGTGTGATGGAAACAAAAGAAAGTGGGAAGAGAGAAATCAAAGAGATGCAGATCAGCCCGATGGTGTCAATCCTCAGTCTTTGCTTATCAGCCATCACCTCCCCTGGCCATGCACGTACACTGTAATGACCCACATATGATCATGTGTGAAAATCTTAGCGGCATTAACGCTTTGCAGAAATAATGAGTGAGCTTTAATAACTGCATTCAGGGCACATTTCCTTTTTTCAGAAAGCCGCACTTTGGTAGAAAAATAGGAGCGAGAGAGAAAGTGTCACTCATTCATGGCAGGCCGGGTAATGTTACCCTCTTCTCTTTTTTTATGCATGTGATGTCAGTTTCTCTTTTTCGCCTGGGTCCTCTTTATTCTTTTTGTCAAACACTCCACACTGAAGAAAGGAGAATTGTTATAAAACGTGTGTTATTGCTGTCACGGATACGTATAGATACAGTTGTTATTTAAAAGGTACTTTACAGACTCTGCCAAATGCATGAGGTGTGCGTTATGTGTTTTTATTAGCTGAGTCAGAGTGTGTCCTACCTTCCACAGAAGGAAAGCCAACAGGGCCAGCAGCAGCAGCCCGAACAGGATGGACAGCACGATGATCCACCACGGCACGCCTCCATACTGAGCTTCACGCCTCTCTGGGAACACCGTCAGTTTCAGCTGGGAACAAGGGACAGAGGCACAACATCAGTTTTACAGTTTCGCTCATTTGTTTTGGCTCTATGTTCGAATGACAAAACAATATGTTCAGATCAATGAACAATACCGGAAACTCAGCATTTTTCAGCACTATGTTCTTTGCTCTACTATCGACATTCAGGGAGGCCTTAACGATCACTTCCACGAGATGGAGTTTGGAATATTTCTGTTTGAAGAAAAAGAAAAAGATCATGTTTAAGTGGGAGTAGGGGAAAAAAACATTAAAATACATACACTTTTATTCTGCAATAAGCTTTTAACCTTTAAATGTCATTCCGACAATATGGTATTGATAATGTTAAATTATGGAAATGACGGGCTATATTTTCACAGGGACATCTGTTGAAAACGTAAGACTGTATTGTTATATTATTACATTTGTAACTATTATTACAAGTTATAATATATTACGCTTCTGCCTGTTAGGATAGTGAGGCTGATTTTCAATACTAGGTTTAGTAAAAACAGTAAATGTCTCCTGCAGTGTGTTTAATTACCTCTATGAAGGTGCTGTTCCAGAGGCGAGAGTTTAGAGTGAAGACTGCATTACTGTCCATGCCCCGCAGGGGGCACGTTATCCTTACACATGTTGCCCCTTTGCCACAGGACTGTCAACAAAGAAGGGAACACAGTTACCATGGGGATTCTGAACTACTGTTTGCCAATGTACATAACATCTAGTAATATAACAAAGGGGTAGAACTTGGTTGTGTACCAGAGTTTTAGATTTCTTCCCGTCAAGTAAACGTGAGATAGTGCCCTCCTTAATTCCCAGAGTGTTTTGTGTTTCTCTTCTCTTCCTGGTTTTACTTGGCTCCTTAAAGCAGAAGAAAGAGGTACATTCAAATATCAAATACACTTTTCATATTTTGTTTGTACAAATCTGAAAGCACATATCTCTACTGCTTTAAAAAGAGATGGCATCGGCTGAGGACCACCACGTCTTTTCATGATGTCTTTTTGCTGACCTTGCTAAGAGGGTTGATCTCGTCTTTAGGAGTGCAGTCTATCTGGTCCACTCCGGTGGCGCTGATCTTCATCAGGTACAGCAGCCACTTCCCATCCTCTGTCTCTTTCGGCCAGTCGATGTCAAGGGTGGCAGTGCCAAAGTCTTTCAAGCTCTTCCCCAGATTGATTATCTGTAAACCAAGAAAGGATCAGTGCCTTCCTTCAGATCATATTTTTTACTTGCAGAATACTCGAGTCTTAGACATGTCAGAAGCAGTGTTAACATAAGCATATTTTATTACACATTTAAAACAATTCTCATTAGAAATGTTGAATGGAATCAGAACATTTGGATAACACTTGTTTAATTAGGCAAAAAACCATTTATGCTCACTTAATGTGTTAATGTACTAAATGGAATTTGGAAACACATTTGTTGAACAAGTTTGGACATCAGGCATTTAAGTCCAGCTGTATTATAATCATAACATTAAGAGAGCTTTGTCTCCAGACAGGATGAAACATTGCCAGTACTAGCAGAGTTTATCCGCTCTGAAACATTTGATGGAAATAGGATGAATTTGCATTTCTTATTTTCGACATTTTAAAAGTTTGCTTAAAATGTGCTTTACAGTTTAAAGGAAACAGTGAGATCTGACAAAAACTAAGCCTGATCTATTAGCTGTCCTGTACTCACACTGAACCGATGTGTGATGGCAGTGCCCATTTCACTCTCAGACTTAATGGCCGTCTCACCCTTGGACTTTCCTGAGAAGTACACCTGAGATGGATGGGCAAGTCTGGAAACACACAGCGACGCAGTTAGTAGCATGTAGCTCTACTTCCTAGTGTGTTTTTGGATATGAGCTGTATGTGTGTGTTTCTTACCCCGATATAGACAGCTGCAACATGATAGCCACCTTTGCCTTTGCTTGAACAGAGGCTAATTTATCCTGGTTGCTTGTTCTGTTGGATCAGAGATTACACACAGGCCAAGTCAAGAAATGTAGTACAAATGTTAATGCATAATCCATCTATAGTATTAGTTATTCATATATTGTTAACATTACAAGCCTTTATTTCTTACGTGTTTAGCTGAAGAACAATCTCCAGGTCGGTAGTGTTCGAAGTGATGCCCGATGTACCCAGGAGAATGTAGAAGGTCGTCTAAAAGCATAACCGGAATATTAAAATACTTACAGTGCCACTTATGCAGAGGATTGTCCAAAAACAGATTGTCTCTGACCTGTGCGTCACGTTTGAAGGGGTTTCCAAGCTCACAATTAGCCTCAGAACCGTCTTTATTGGCTACACAGGATACCTGCGTCACCTGAAATCAATCACAAGAACCAATCAGAACATATGATTGTGTGTGTATGTTGAAGACCTATCTTTTTACATTGGCTTTTGTTTATACTCAGAAATCAGAAACAGGTTTATTGCCAGGTAGGTTTACACGTACGAGGAATTTGACTTGGTGTCGTGGTGCATAAAAACAAGAATTAAACCAAATGATACTTGAGATGTGTGTGATGTGTTCTGTTCTTATGCGTGTTCCTTTCGAGACTCTACGTGGTCTGTGTTTTGTTTTTATGATAACCTTACATTTCTGCCTCATGTTGTTATTGTATTCATGTTTCTGTGGTCTTAATTTTTACTTTTGTTCTTTCTTGTGAAGCACTTTGTGAATTGTATTTCTGTGAAAGGTGCTATACTAAATAAACCTATTATTATGTTAAAAAGAGTGAGTGAAAGTTAAAAAGACGCTCACATTTTTTGGAACACGGTAAGCAGAGTAGGTGAGGGAGCGGGGGATGCTGGCGAGCACAGAGGCTTCGTGTGCATCGTCTCCATTGAAATTGGTAACTGTAACCTCCAAAGCGATGTCCTTTTGGTCGCTGAGCGAAAACACCGGCACGTCATCCTCCCTGTAGTCAGATCAAAGCTATGAGACCACGGAAAAAAGGAATATGGTGCTCTTGCGAAACAAAGTATGTGTGTATCCTCTTACAGTTTTAATGGAGTGAACGTGACGTCGTCTGTTGTCCTGTAGCCGTAGCGATATTTCACCCGCAGGTTGCTCTGACAGACATTGTCTGGTCCACAACCTTCCTTCAGGAAACTCACCTACAACACGTACATTAAAGTAAAACCGTTACATAGATACATCAGTAGCATCAAATCTGCTGCGTGGCGATAAAATCTTTAACGCATTCCCACCTCAGATCGCATCTTCGAGGACTCCTTGGCGTCCAGGACAGGCGCCAGCTGACCGGTTGAGCTCTGTCTGCGTTTGCGGTTTCCGTCCTGGATGTCCACGGACACATCGATGGGAATCCCGTGCAGCTTGTCTTTAATATTGTCCTGCAGAATGACACACAATTACTCCCCACCCACAGTGCATTTTGAGAGAGAAAGTGAAAGAAATGTCATGAGAGAGTCCCAACCTGAATCATAAGCTTTCTGGTAATGCACTGTTTCTTTCCTTGGGTGTCCATGGTGATCGTCCCTTTTGACTCGTAGCTATTCCCAGAGCCGTCTTTGAAGACCGCCCTGGGGTTCAAAAGCTTCTTCCTGTGGTCAGCGTCCGCCTCGAGGGAGTACGCCACCGCTAGATTTGACAGAGACAGGGACGTGAGGGAGAGGTGGATAAAGAATGACAAGAAAAATGACAGAGTACTGTTTCTTGCTCTTTCGTCAATGATAATAATAACCAAAAGCACAAGAAAGTTGGACTTGGTGCTTTAATAGGCTCTGCTTACTCAGTCTGGGAGCGTAACTCTTGGGCTCGGCAGTGAAGGTGAAGCATGCCTCGATATTCAAGCTGAAAGCACAGTGGACACAACAATGAGAAAAAGTAATGGCACAGATTTTCCTCAAATTGATGAATGTCCAGAAACACCTGCTGCAGAAAAAGACACACGTACCAGAAGTTTTCGCCACAGTTCTTCTCGGTGAGGTTGATTTTCTTTGGTGTGAAGTTAACTTCCTTTTGGATTTTTATAACTGGACGGGCTCTGGGGAGGACAGCACTCAAGTGAGAAAATCTACAACCGTGATCAAAGATGAACAGTGAGGACATTTTTTCAGGTCACTAACCTATAGACAAAGACAGAGTCAGAGAGGGACCCGACGGCCAGGTCAGGGTAGGCGTTTTTATCCAGGTCCATGTTGCCTGCCAGAGAGTAGCCAAACATCTTCACTCCTAAAGCCTCGCCGGACAGAATCTAAAGGAAGAGAAACAGACACTTACTTTATAGCATGTATTAAAGCCGACCCGAATGCTTCGAATGTTACCATGGTAATAGATGTCCTAGTTAGTATTCAAATGCAGCGTATGTTTGGTGTGTTGCCCCCAATAAATCCAAAATAGCCCATTAAATAAGGAATAGGAATCCCACATTAGATAGATAGATATGCTTTATTGATCCAAATTTGGGAAATTATTTTGTTACAAAAGCATCAATGTGTTCAGACATTAAAATAAAATGTTATTCATTATGCATAACCTGAATATGATTGTTGTAGGTATAGTGTGTGTGTGTGTGTGTGTGTGTGTGTGTGTGTGTGTGTGTGTGTGTGTGTGTGTGTGTGTGTGTGTGTGTGTGTGTGTGTGTGTGTGTGTGTGTGTGTGGTGTGTGTGTGTGTGTGTGTGTGTGTGTGTGTGTGTGTGTGTGTGTGTGTGTGTGTGCGTGCGTGCGTGCGTGCGTGCGTGCGTGCGTGCGTGCGTGCGTGCGTGCGTGCGTGCGTGCGTGCGTGCGTGTGTGTGAGTGTTTGATAAGACATACTGGACAAGCAAGGCATTTTCTTTATATGATTCTGGTTTTTGTGTTTAATGTTTTATTTTGACATTAATTTTCTCTTAGTGTCTTGTCTCGTTTTTCTTCCTGTGTTTTCCCGCCTGTGTCTGATTGTGTTCACATGCTGCCCTTGTGTTTTCAACTTCCCTTCAGCTGTGTGTTGTCTCCCTGATTAATCTTGTGTATATATATGCCTGTCTTCCCCAGTGTTCTTTGTCAGATCGTCGTCGATGTTCAGTTTAATACATACCTGTGAAGCTTCTTTGGAGATGACACCTGAGGCTACTCCATGGTAGATGTACACCTGTCCTGCTCCCTGATTAGGAGCTCCCACTGCAAAATCTGACAGCAATAACGATAACAGTGACTTACAGTGTAGTTATACAGGTACACATATTTAATTCGCCCTAACCCATAACATTACTACCAAAATCATGCACAATATTACTTTTCTGTTTTAGCTTACTTATCTTACATAATGTATCTTGCTCTAATTGTATTTTCTCTGTTCACTAGTGTTCTTTTTATTCTATTGTGCTTCTTGTAATTATTAGGTTGGCCCACAAATTTCAAGTAAAGTAAAAATCTTCTCTCATCTTGTTCAACAAAGCGTGTCAACAATGACGTGCTGACACGCAAACACACATAGCAGCCTCACCATGGTAACCATCCTGATTGATGTCTCCCAGGTTTTCCACAGCCAGGCCGAACATGGAGTCCTTTGGTCCGTCTATTCTGATGGGCTTGACTGTGTTCCACTTTCCCAGTTTGTTGACGTAGACGTAGACGGCTCCTCCGATTTTCCCGTCCTTCTCAAAGTACTGTGGTGCTCCCACCACTATGTCCTGCCAACTAACAAACAACAGAACCACCTGTTTGTGAGTTTACTGGAGCAGCAATAACAGAAGTTACAGGTTGTGCGAATCACCCTGCGTTACTCACCCATCATTATTGAGATCCAGCACGGTCAAATCGTAGCCGAAAGACGAGGCCAGCCCTTGCCCTTCCAGGGTGTACTCTTCTGACATGCTGTTGTATCCGTCTTTCTTCATCAGCACCACCGCTCCACTGTGGTTAGCTCTGGGAGCTCCTGCCACCACCGTCAACTCACCCTTCTCAATCAGACTCTTCCCTGAGTCCAGAGAGAAGCCTGGGAGACGGGGACAAAGAAACGTTTGCTTACTGTGTACTTGACAATGGCGGACAAATTAATGGATGAAGAAAGTGAGGAGTTTTTTACCCAGGTAGCTGTTGGAAGGAGCGGGGACCAAGTCAGCGTTCCTATTCCTCTCATCTCCCGTTTCAAAAGGGCCGTCGTCATAGATTTCCAGCTCCAAAAAGGTTTCGTTCTTTTGTTCCAAGCGCACCACACCTGAGGGGGGGAAGAGGAGTACAGGTTAAGAATATCCAAAACCCAGATAACTATAATGGGAGGAGTCTCTGTCTGCGTTAGAGTTGGGGGGGTGAATATTTCATCATTTGATTTTGCTCGTTTAATGGTCTGCTCGACGAATGAGATTAGTTGTATATAGCAAGTATATTTTAACATTAATCTGAGGGAAATAAGAGTTTGTTTTGACCAATGGAAAGACTACCCAGAACAGTTTTGGTGGGTTTTATTTTGTTTCTGCCAAGTTTGAAATGTTCAGGACAAGTAGTGTGTTATGTGCACACTGTGTAGTGTATTGAAAGGTGACCCTGGTTACAGATCGCACACCGTCAATGTGAGATTTTCCACAAAAATGATGTGCATCCTTTAGCTTTGCTAAAGGATGCATGCAACTTTCATGGTAGGTGTATTGCTCCAGCATCAAGAAAGCCCAGTGACGACAGTGACGTTCTTTGGAGGAGAAGCATAGCACATATTGATGCAAAGATCTCCGCTATTCTGAGACCCTCAAAAAAAACATCTCTTCTCCTCTTGTCTACTCATAGCCCACCCCCCATCAATCCATGCTGGTTGATCAAGTTTGATAGTCCTATACCCCCCACCCTAACCTTCCCTTATATTGTAAAGCAATTTTGAGTCCTTGAAAAGCCCTATAAAAATAGAATGTATTATTATTATTATTATACTGACAGGTATCAGATCTTGCTGTGTAAAATAATCTTCCTGAGAGGTGTCACTTGTGATTTAGTCTGTGTGGTCTACAGTGAATGTATTCCTGACAGCCACAGGTGATAAGAATCAAAGGTTCCCATAGGGTTCCATAGAAAATGCATGCGGGTCAGTTTTGACCCACTTATGGAAGCTAGGGGTAGTAATATAAAAACTACAATTTCTTAAAATGTATACAATTTAAATTTAAAATTTGAATGGCATGATATCCAAAACATGTTTTTTGAGGAATAGCTGGAATATGAAATGATAAAAAAATATAATTACAAAGATACTTCAAGAAAACCACCTCACCGGGTCAAAAAAGACCCACTTATGCATCTAAGGGTTAAGTAACACACACACATACACACACACACACACACACACACACACACACACACACACACACACACACACACACACACACACACACACACACACACACACACACTAGACTACCTTTCCAGCCGTATGCTCCAGGAGCCCCAAAGATGAGGTAGTGGTAGTCCTTGTCGAATGTGGCAGAGAGGCCCTGCTGACAGGAGCCGAACCTCTCGTGGCCTGTGGTTCGGCCTTGACAGAAATGCCATGCATCTCCCTCTTCGTCCGTGTTGGGATTGATTTCCAAGTTCTGCCCCAGCACGTAGCAACGACCGATAATGTCTCGGGACTCCGAGGTCCCCAATGACCGGCGCTGGTAGCGATGGGCACAGGTCTACCAGGAAAACAAAAACACATGGTAGAGCTGAAGTAATGTTGATTATAGAAAAAAAAGGCTAGTGTTGAAATGAGATTGGATGATTCACAAATTCCTGTTCAATTTCACTTTAAGTAGCTACAAAGCTATAAAAGCCAATTACACTTGTATTGGATGTATACATTCTGCCGGGCTGAAACTCAAGTAGATCTGAGAACAGTTTTTTTACTTTTAATTGTAAACAACAATCATCATCATCATCATCATCATCTTTATTTAAAGAGACTCTTGGTCCATTATTACAAAACATACAACACTCAAATATAAATTAAAAAAGGCAGTTATACCAATGTTTCCACAGAGGTGACTGGTATCGTACAGCACTGAAACACGGATTTGACAGCAGCATAATGACAGAGTTATGAGAAACATTCAATCGACAGATGAATTTGTACATTCGATTTCTCAAAAGAGCATGGAACGTGTTGACTCGTGCGTTACAGAACATTTCACTTGCACTGCACCACCTTGGTTTTCTAAGCAGTATACGCAAACAGTCATTATATGCAACCTGGAGCTTCCGGAGGCTCACCTTCTTATACTTGACCCACAAGGGGGCAGTATAGAGAGGAGTGCAATAAGCTCTAAAGAGGTTCACCTTAACCTTATCTGAACACCAAGAGAATTTTCTAGCCAACATGTTGGCTTGTATATATAAGACACGCCGCTGTCTATACATGTCATCATCATCAGCCATTTCATCTGTGATGATGTGTCCCAGATACTTAGTGTTACAGCAAACAGACAGCACCTGTCCTGACAGGTAGAATGTTGGAAAACAAAGGTTCTTATCCCCTTTTGCTCTGCAGATCATTACAGCGCTCTTCTTAGCATTGTATTTAACGTCAAATTTGACTCCGTAATCAGAACAAACATTTAGCAACTGTTGAAAACCAGCACTGCTAGGAGAAACAATAGCCAGATCATCGGCATACATAAGATGGTTTACAATCACATTACCAATCACACACCCTGTTTTACAGACACTTAAATCATCTGATAGATCATTCATATAGATATTAAAAAGGCATGGTGAGAGGAGCCCCCCCTGGCGGACTCCATTACCAACACCAAATGGCGCCGAGACTGCATTCCCCCATTTGATCCGCATGCTCTGGTTGGCATACCAATAAGCCAGGATCCTAATTATACTGTTAGGCACACCGCTTTGTCTCAATTTTAAAAACAGTTTATGATGGTTAACTCGGTCAAAAGACTTAGAGGCATCAATGAAACCAATCAGAACAGTGGAATTCTGTCTTCTATATGTTTCTACCATTTCTTTCAAAGCATAGATGCATAGCTCAGTACCATGCTTAGCCTTGAAGCCAGACTGGTTATCTGAGGTACATAAATAAGAACATAGTCTATCTAACAAAATTCTTTCCAGGACTTTGGATAACACACTGGCTAGAGCAATTGGGCTATAGTTATCCAAGCTCCCTACCTTGCCCGCTTTGTCCTTAATGACAGGGACCAAGGTAACAGTCAACATGGAGTCCGGCAACATACCATGAGTCATGAGGCCGGTAAAACAAATGGCAAGAAGAACTGCAACCTTCGGGCTTGCCAGTTTAAGGTGCTCTGCAGTGATTCGGTCAGAGCCGCATGCTTTGTTATCAGCTAGCTGTGCAATTGCTCGATAAACCTCTTTAGCTGTGATTCCCGCTGTGTCACTTTTCACAACATTACCAACTTTGTAGGGGTCACTTTTAACACAATTAAGTATAGTAGAGTAATGTTGCTTGCCTCCACAACTCAGCTATGTTATCGGCTCCAGATACTCCCTCTATGGTACACGGTAATGACGTACTGGCCCTGTTCAGAGCTCTCACCTCCTTCCAGAAGCCAGTCACACCATTATGAAGGAGCTTTTCAGCCATAGAGTCCGCTCTCAATGTTTCTGTGTGTTTGTTGACATAACGAACTGCATATTTATATCTAGCATTTGTACGCTTTTTGAGATCCAGGACAGGCCCCTCTCTGGGCCTTCCTGCCTGGACCCAGGCCCCAAAAGCATTCTTGGCTTCAGCGTATTGATCAGCCACATGTTTATTCCACCCTGGCTTGACGTTGTGTCTCTTCCTAGAGTAGGTACAGCACGGTCTACTGGCCTCCCATACAGCTCCCACAATACAATCATACATGTTACAGAGGTCTTCACGGTGAGAGCTTTCATTACAACCCACATCAACACACAGAGTTGCCACTTTGGGTAGATATACATCACTCAATAGGACATCAGTTCTCCCATAGTACAATAGCCTATCCTCATTTGTGAGCTTGGACCAATCCACTTTAGTGTTACAGGCATTTTTAACCTCCTGAGACATCTCAGGGAGACTATCATAATCTAGTGACATTATAAAAGGAATGTGATCTGACATTGATGCCTCATACATAATCTCAATTGATCTTACAATGTCATGGGCATTAGCAGTGCTTATGCAATGGTCAAGCCATGAAGTTGTATGCTAGGTAGGGCTGTGCGATTATGGCAAAAATCATAATCACGATTATTTGGGTCAATAATTGATATCACGATTATTTTGACGATTATTCATTGACCATTTATTGAACTTTAAAACAAATAATATTTTACCAATAAACAAGATCAAATATGTTGGAGCGCACTTCCAAAACCATACTAAACATATATTATTAATATGTTAAATACAAATAAATTAGACCACAATAAATGAAATCAAACATGTTGCAGTGCACTGTCACAACCTACTGAAAACTCCTTAACATATAGCCAACATTTTGGTAAAACATATTCAACATATTCCACTCAGTTAAACGTTGAAGGCTGGCCAACCGTCATGGTCCAGAAGTAACAGGAAATAAATGTTGAACTACAATTTAAGACCAAATAAAAATGTCTAGGCCACCATGGCAAATGCTGGTAGGGCTGCTCATGTCATCTCTTAAAGATTGTTCGCAAGAAACACCAGCCTGTTTACATGGTCTGGTTTCAGAGATGAGCGCAGGCAGGTGACGATATTGCCACCTGTACTGAAGACCCTCAGCCACGCCCCGACACATGGGGTGACGCCGGCCAATCACAAAGCTTTGATGCGTTCAAGTGCATTATTCTGGCACAGGAAGATTATGTTACAGGACATTAACGATAAAACAGAATATTGTTGTTCTATTTTTAGACACATCTCGCGATCGACTGGTTGGGCACCCCTGGGCTAGACCATAGGTCTGTTGTGGTAGCAAAGTAGTCAGCTGAAGCCACATCTCTCTCAACTTCCCCACGGCATTTGTCATATAGCGCAGGCAGCGCAGACCTGCTGAAATAATACCGAGACGGCATCGCGTAACGCTTGTCCAGCATGTTGACAAGTTGCTTAAAGCCCTGGTTGCTAACAGTGCTAACTGGGCACATATCTTTAGCGATGTGAAATGTAATGGCACCTGTAATATCTCTGTGTCTCTGCGAGCTCGTCGCGTAGGCCGTTGCTCTGTACAATGCGTCCAGAATCGATGACTGTGATGATGTGGTGGATGAAGTCGAGCGGGCATCTGCTTTTTGTTGTATTACTGCCCGGTCGTATTGCACTTTGTGGTTGTATTTCAGCTGATTAAAGAGATTGGTTGTGTTGGCGTGTGGTGCCAACACAACCTGGTAACAAATCCTGCACTGTACTTTGTTTTGCTCCACGTCGGACTCCTGAAAGCCAAAGTACTTCCAAATAGTGGAAATAGTTTGACCCTTCTTTTTAACGAGTTGCTGCTCTTGATCTGACATCTTCGCTCGCGCTGAACACTCACAACACATGTCATTCCCACGTGGTCGAGTGGGCTTTTAGGGAGGGGCGAAAGCGCACCCAGCAAAAATAATCGTATTTTGTCAATTATGCTGTTTTCATAATCGTCGCAAACCATAATCGTAATCGCGATTAAAATACGATTAATTGCACAGCCCTAATGCTAGGCCTCGCTTATATATGAATAGCTATCTGTAGGCAGAAGTATTTGGCTTGATAATATAAGATTGTTATCATCACAAAACTATAGCATATGCTTAGCAAACAAGGACCTTTTGTCTGATATGTCAGCATTCATATCACCCACTACATAAACACTGGTGGAATGATTATCAACAATAAAAGAATGTATAAAAGCAAGTCTGTTCAGGTATTCATCTTCATTATGCTGTGACTCATATGGTGTATATACATTCAGAATGCTAAACTCCTTGTTATTCATTTAGATCTGTACAGCAATACACCAGTCAACTTCAAGCCTGATGACATTAATGACAGCGTCCAGCTTTTTGTGCCACAGGATAGCCACGCCCCCTGCTATCCTTCCTCTCACTATTCCCAGAGATAGGTCCGTAGTGGACTCACCAGCCCCGTGAAAATTGTCATTAAGAGAGTTCAACTTTCCCAAGTCCTGCTTTGGTAAGAAAGTTTCTTGCAAGCATAAAATGTCACATTTTTGTAGCAAGTAGCAAGTAGCAAGTGTTTTTGTAGCACCACTACACGTCGGATCCTATCAGCAGCGCTGTTGCCCAGGCGCAGCCCGCGACAGTTAAATGATCCAACCTGCATAACGTTTAGCTAAGCAGCTCAGCAATCAATCAATCAATTTGAAGATGTCCCCCTTTGACTCTGATACATTTTAATGGCCTTTTTGACAATGTATAGGCTAAACCAGTGATTCTCAAATGGGGGTACACGGACCCCTAGGGGTACGTTGGGGTACTGTAGGTTGTACGTGAGGTTATAAAATAAATAAAAAGGTTAATTAAAAAAATACCATGCATTATTACAAAAATAATCTTAGTACAATAAGTTAAATAGAAAACACAATTTTATATAAGATATTCCTAGAACCACTAAGGGGGTCCTCATATAAACATGTTACATTTGTGTATTGTATTTATAGTTTTTAATAATATATCATTTTGTTCATTGGTTTGTTAAACATATTGAAAAACTAATTGAAAAAATCTTTTTTTTTCATGCATAAAGATTAAAATATCCTTAGTTTGTTGTAATTCATGCATTAAGGAGTTAATAAATCAAAAAAATATTGTAATTATTTATATAGGCTTTTTCTGTCAAAAATGTCCGGGGTCGGTCAGGGGGTACTTGGCTGAGAAAATGTTTCAAAGGGGGTACATTACTGAAAACAGTTTGAGAAGCACTGGGCTAAACAATATAATTGTAATTGAAACAAATATTTAGATTAATTGACAGTAAATTATCTTAAAGGTGGGGTAGGTAATTTGGAGAAACCAGCTCGCGTGCGCTAGAATTTGAAAATACACAACCGGGAAAAATCTGCCACTTCCTTACAGAACCCCTCTTCCAACACACACGAAAGTGCACATGACCAATGAGGGCACGAGATAAGTTTGTGCACAGATGGAAGGCTGACAGGCAGGTAGGCCATCCAGTTTCTTTAGCCGGGCCGGCTAAAATGATTGGTTGTGCTTTTTACAGTACTACGGCTTCCACAGATGACATTTTTTAATGGATTTTTTGTCAAAGCACTTAAGATATTCATTGCTATCGGGATGTTAAGAGCATTCCATGGAATATAACAAAAAGTGTATCTCGAGCCGGTTTCTGAAACTTACCTACCACACCTTTAATTGTAGCCAAACATTTTCTGTCTGCTTTATTCAGAGTTTCATGGCATACGCCTTATTTTACTGAAAGACTGACACATCAAAGACACAATTTTCATGTCTGTTCTGTTAATGGACAATGTTCAATGTTTTTCCCTGTATTCCCACCCAGCACTGCATGTCTGATACCCTTGAAAGCTGAAAGGTTTTGGTGGGGCTGAAACTGAAGATTATTGTCATTTCCAATTAATCTGACAACTATTTCTTCAATCAACTGACTTAAAGATACTATAAGTTGTCGTACAGTCACAGAGTCTTACCACAACTTTTCCTCCTGGTCCCTGACTGTTGACGGTCACTCCCATCCACTGGTTCTCTTTGCTCTCTTCGTTTATTTTCTCTACACAGAGACAGGAATAGAGACAAAGAGGATAATGTGAATCAAATATTGAGAAGGGGTCTTTAAAATAGCCGTATTGACTAGGTAACTAGCTATCTCACCATTGTTATCAAATTGAACTCTGGAGCAAGACGTTGAGGTGGAGGTCATGTCACAGTTGTACAGTCCTCCTGTCACCTTGGATGTTTGGCCACTCATGGCTTTTGCTCTCGGGGCACCAACCAGCAGCCTGCAACAGAAACACAAAGGAATCCGTTAAACAAGTGATTATTAAAGTGGGGGAACGTGGAAATCTGCAACCTGAAATGTTTTTTCAGTCTCATTCAAATTAATTTTCATGATATCATGTCTATTTTTAAAAGCTTCATGGTTGAGCTTCATGGTTGAACAAATACAACTTTTGATCTACTGTACATAATGGTTAATAAAGTCCGTTCCTATCCAACACATTATTCCGAGGTACCTACACGAGGATATGTAGAAGTGATTATCAGCTGCATTTAAATCAAATGCACGATAAGCAGTGACAATCATTTCCATCTAGGACTCAGAATAAGAAGCATTCTGGCATTTCTTCTTCTTACACATCATACTATCACACATTCCAGTCCACTTTCACACACAGCAGTCGTATTCACACACACAAACACACACATCCGCCACCAAACTGATGTTCCATGTCCTCACGGTCCCACTGAATCAAAGACCGCTTTCAAACGTCTGCTGTGGTTGATTGAGCCAGGCTCTCTATCTCTTTCAACACACACACACACACACACACACACACACACACACACACACACACACACACACACACACAGGCTGCCATTGTGGACCAAGGTCTAGGGCAAATGCCACACCCAAGACTTGATGATTGGCGACCAGTTCTCATGGTTTCTTACAGAGTAAATCAAACTAAGTTGAGGATGTCATCCTTTCAACTGATGCTTTGTGGAGGTTTACACTAGTCTCAATACACACACATCTCTCTCTCTATCCTTGTATGCTCTCTGGCTTGCTCAGTCTATCCGATGACATCCAGAGTTAATGTTAAACAGCACACTGTCTTCACCAGATGACATTAGGAAAGCCATTTTTAACCGTTAGACAAAGCATTCTCACATACGCTCGGCATCTGGGAGGGAATCAACAGAGACATATAGTCAGAGTGAAGAGCTGAGGCATAATGTCATCAGCATGTCTGTAGGGCAGACCCATTCAACACCGCAAATACTGCATGTTGGAGACGTTTCAATATTAAATGTAACAGCATAAATCTTCGTGATTATTGACTTAAGCTGGCGCAATGGGGATTAGTAACGACAATAAATCTATTTATATGTCCACAGACTTATGAGGCTGCCATTAGGAGATGGATTAAGATTTGTTTTAGAGAAAATAAAGTATGATGTAATTTCTCCTAAATAAAATACATCACGACAAGTGAACTCAATGGAAAGAACGTCACACACTGTGTATCCAATCTGAACCGCTGGATTGCTTTGGATTTGTTTCAAAAACCAGAACACTGTAATTTGCGCTTTTAACCAAATGAGTGTGTGGCCAATGCTGCTTTTCTTAAACTACTAAGGGAGGAAATGACACTTGACCCAGAGTTCAACTCTCCACCTTGAGGTGCACTATCATACTAAGCAGGAAAACACATTTTCACACCGCCTGCTTGTCTTTGAAAGATGAGTTTAAAATGTGTTATCGCTTTAAAGATGTGTGACTAACAGTGAATCCCAGGAGGGCACACCTTTACTACAATTTTTCTCGGAGACACAGGAAGCCAGGAGAATAAACAGTGAGATCTCTGCAAAGACACAACTTGGAAATGGGGTTGGATTAACAATTGATTTTAGTGAAGCTAAAAAGTGTAGAGTAATCAGATTGCCAATGAGTGTTGTACAAATAGGTGCTATATTGTCTATCCTTTCAAATGTTCTTAATTTCCCCCATATGAATTTGCTCGGAGAATTTCCCGTCCCACTGTACATTATTCCAGGAAGAAGTGGCAGTGTTTTTACTTACATTTGATCATAAAAGGCCTTGTTCAAGAAACTGAATTGGAGACTAATCTTGAGAGATATACTGTATATAATCTTATTTGCAACAAATTATTATTGTGTATTGCTTTTGAAGAGTGAAGAGCCGACATGACGTATCAGTGATCAGATCAGTCGCTGTCTCACTGACCAAGAACCAGCTGTTCATCTAATCGTTCAGCAACAGCAGAGGAAACCCCGACACACAGGCTAACACTACAGGAAAGACAAACAGAAAAATATAAATAGAGTGTGTGTGGCAGTGGCAAAGACAGAGTGACCATCAGAGAGATATCCCATAGAGCAGTGGTTCTCAAATGGGGGTATGCGGACCCCTAGGGGTACGTTGGAGTACTGCAGGGGGTACGTGAGATTTATTTCATGTTAATGAAAAAAAAACATAAGTAATGCATTTAAACAAACTACTAATAGTAGATTAACTACTTTATTCAAAGGTTTACAGAAACTCTGGATAATAACATGGGAAGAATAAACGGGGTGCTCTCTTTTCCTCTCCCTCTCCTGACAGCCCGTCCCTCTCGTGCAGCTCGCTGAACCTGTAATAAGTGACCCGACAGTAAAGAACACACATATTTCTTATAACTAGTTTAGCTAGTTCCAGAGTAGATAAAATAGCTAAGTGTGTTAGGTCTTACTGTATTTTGCTCCACTCAACGGTCCGTCACAGCGGCGGAGCTTTGATCCGGAAGAGCTGCGTGTTCTCCGTCAGCAGCAGCTGATCTGATCTCTGATCTCTCTCTCGCGTCCGGTTATACTTCACTCCCGTTTATGTCCAAATCTATCAGATCTAGCTAGTTCTAGTTAATTATTTGACTGCCTGCTTATCAAAGGACCTAAACAATAAGCGTTGTTTGGCAACGGCTTGTGGCTGCAAAGTATAGCGCAGCATTATGCATGTTTAATGAGGGGTCAAAATCCCATGCTCATAAAATGCTCATATTTTTTGTTCTCTTCATTCCCCACGCCCCAAAATAAATAAATATACACATTTTAGGAAAAGTAACGACGTTTGAGCAGTGTGGGTTTTATATTGACAGAGTTACACATATTTCAAAATGCTAAGTGTAATAAGTTGCCTCCCTGTCAGAATGACAAAGTTCCTCAGTGAAGCACAAGCCCATGTTTCTCACTACATTGTAAGTACAACTTATTAAAAGATCAGTTCAATGCAACTAATGTCGTCTTAGTGTTATTGCATGATGTTAAAATTGGTTTGCCATGAATTTAGTGATGGATTGTAAACATTTGAAAGCATTTAAGTGTTTCTCAGTTACAAGGTTGTTGTTTTAATAAATCAGACACCGATGGTGCAGCAGCACTGTACCTCTTTATATAGGCATCTTTTCCCTAACAAATAGTTTTTGCGCTGATCAGGGGGTACTTGGCTGAAAAAAAATTCCGAAGGGGGTACATTATTGAAAAAAGTTTGAGAACCACTGCCATAGAGAGAGGTGTGTACTTTTTTCCCACAGCAGCAAACTGGCTGTTGACTAAGCCAGTTGCTTAGTGACAGCAAGCTGCACCCTATCAACTAGACCTCCAAATGGGTTGCAGATCTTGAGGTTCATATTATGTCTGTTTCCCAACTTCTATCTCCATCAATCTGCCAGGATCAAATCCCAGCGAGTCTGAATAGCAGCTGATATTTGGTGCCCAGATGTAAAACTGATTTATGTTCCTCTCAGCATTCTTTCAGTCATCACCTCTTTCTTTCCTCCTTTGATGTTGGATATCCTCAACTAACCTGAGGGGAAGGTGGGAGTGGGGAGGGGCAAATCAGACTTTCATACTTGTACACAGGTCATGTACACTCACAAAAAAGCTGACTTAAACTCTCCCATCTTCTTTTGTCATTTAAAAAAATCTAGACACAGCATGTGACATTACTGTTGAACATGTAACATGTCGGCATGTCTTTGTTTCCTGTTACCGACAGTGTGTCCCTTTATCCTTTACTCTAGTCTAGATACATCTAAATCCTCAGAAACACACACACATTTACTTTCTCCCAGACATTTCTCACATTTGATCCAAGCTCTTAAACTTCCCTAACCCTTCACTTTGTCTCCTTCTCCCTCCTCGCCCCACTCGTGCATTTTGATCTTGATTTTATTATACAGACAGCTCCATCTGGCAATTATGACCAACCATGGAATGCAACACACACACACACACACACACACACACACACACACACACACACACACACACACACAGACACATGCATATACAGGATCCGATTAGCTCCTGCCCTCTCCTGCAGCCAGCTACATGTAAAACTCATCCCTGTGGGGCTAGAAAGACAATGCAATATATTAGACTGAATAAAAGTTGCCATGCATGGCTGGAAAAGGATTGTGACTCACTGTACACACCCAGCAGTGGGAGACACATGGGTGGGGGGCACAAGCCCACACACGCCAACACTTGCGCACGTGTTGATGCAATTCACATTAGAGAACTAAATCACCTTCAGCAAATAAACTCTTTTTTATTCTCTGTATCTCTACTTTTTTTTTCTGCCTCAGGTTAGAAGTGTTTCAAGAAGCACACTGAGCTCTCTGACACTCTTCCAAGTGACTGACAACAGGGCAACGCCTGACAAATACACGGTCCACAGTGAGAGCACATTCCACCTCTACAACAGCAGTTGGAGCACCTTCACTTGCAAAACAAACATGTCTACCTGCTCCAACATGCAGACACAGATATGTTGCTGATGGTTCAAGCTACGGTTTTAAAAATATTTTTTGACAACAGATTAGGGCTAATTGCCTTGTATCATGATAAATAAATATGCCTACATTTAAACCACTTGTAAATGAGGATTGTAGCTGAACATAACATATACTCTTTATTATAAAGCTGCCAATTACTTTCTAAATCAGTAATGATTTAATAGTTAAATCCACAAAATGTCAGACAAGTGTCAAAATGATTATTGCAGGGCCGCCCGATTACTCGGTGATTGGACAGTCAGGCAATGTCATCCCCTCTCTCTCCCCCTTTCAACACTGTATCTCCAATAAAGGCACTGTCTGGCCCCAAACATATCCTACTGTAGTTGCAAGAGTCCCAATTTCTGTATCTAAATAGTTATTTTTGTTTAACTTACTGTCCCAGAACTCAAAGGATTCAGAATTCTACTAGACAAGGAGGCAAGTAAGCATATCAATATACATTATCTACTTATATGTTTGTCTCTGATCACATAATCCAACTGTGTTCTGTTTGTATGTAACGTTACAACCTGGAGCAGGGGGGCTTTGGTCTTGTGCTGATCACCATGTGTCTTTCATTTAGAAACAGCCTTAAACTAGGATACACACTGCCACTGTGTGATTGTGTGTTTTTGTGTTTGTGTGTGTGTGTGTGTGTGCGTGCGTGTGTGTGTGCGCAGTAGTAGAATTCCACTACTGTCCCTTATACAGCACAAGATGCTAATTCATTTCAAATAGGCCACCTCCAAAAGTTTCTCTTGTGATAATCAAAATCTAATCGTGGGCGACTCTTTCTGCTGCTATTGACCAGCTTTTTACTCAGAATGTATTGACATTTCTATCTAGTAATTAGTCAACAGGCAACTCTCGCTGTCCAAATTGCATTTTGTATTTGTATAACTAATTATTTGAGGTCACCACAGTGCGTAGACCTAAACAGCCATAGTTTAGACTTTACTTATTTTAGTTTTGATATAATTAGGGTTTACTTATAAAATATTTACCAACGTTATGGATTAAACTACCCAACCATGTATACAATAAAGCAGGTAAAAAAAAGCTCCACCTCAACCAACTAAAACATTAATACCACTACTTACAAATCCTTGCCTCATAATACAAATCAGATGATGTTATTATTTTTAAGTGCATTTTCTTTTGGTGGTTTTATTACTTTGTTATAGTTACCTTTTTTAACTTATGATACATTTTCAGTGTGGTTTTGCTACTTTTAATCTGAATAATTCCAACACCACTGTTTGTTGCCACCAACACAATTTAAAATATTTTAGTGACAAAAATAGGAAAACATGTTAATTGATTTCTGACTGGTCCTTTATAGTCAAACAGACTCACAGTTTAAAGAATGTGACTGCTCTGATCTCAGGTATGTTGATATTCATGCTATTCAAACCAGTGACCACTTGATGGCTCTTAGCCTTTGTGCAAAATGAGAAATCCCTCTGAATTAATGCCCATAAAAATGCCAACAATGATTCAATGAGATGTTTTGGTCACAAAGCACGAGAGGGAGAGAGGGGGAGAGTTTGTTACGTATATGTTACGTGCAAAAAGCTGTTGTAGAGGTCCAATAAAAACTCACAAATAAGTAACCTGGAAAGAAAAACTCAACAACGATTAACAATGTGTTGGCCATTAATTAAACGTACAGGTGTATACAGTTGTGTTAAGAAGCTGTGGTTTTTCTAAAATGTAGTGAAAAAGCTCAATTCTAAGAGACTACCTGCGACACACCTGAGCTCAACATTCACGCAGAATTGAGCACTTATGACATTTGAAGGGTGACGTGAAAAGTGTGGTTTAGAGGGGGGTTTCCTCTCATGTAGCAGCTATGACACTGTAAAAACTAATTTACAGTCGTCTACATTTAAATGACATTTTTATTACATGGTTACAAAAGTTATTTTAACGACTTGTTTTTTAAGGCTAGGATGTCACAGAAGTAGCTATCTTTACCTGCCACCAAACATGCCACCCCTTCTAAAATGAAAAAGTTGAAATCTTACATTCTCTTATCCTCCGGAGCAAGCTGCCAGTGCATGGCGAGAGAGAAGCCGAAGTAGCTGCCCGGGTCACCGTTCTTCCGCTGGACATTCGTGCTGTCCAGGTTGAACGCCGATAGTCGCCCACATCCCAAAATAAAGGCGAAGAACCACAGTCCACATGTGATCCTGACCTCCATGAGATACAATCTAATTCAAAACTCCACTTGAACTTGTGAAAGGTGAGTCCTCTGTGAAGGAGGTGCAGAGTGCAAATGGCTGCTCGGGGGGGTGAATGTTGTGCACTTTACTCGCAGCAGCCCCTCCTACTCCTGGCACACACCACCCAACTGTAACACACCTCAGATTGTTTTGTAATCTGACTTTTATTGTCAATTATTGAAAAAAGATCAATGCTTTGTTTGCCTTTTGTTAGTTTCCAGTATATCAATACTGTAATCTAAGCAGTTCAAAGATGCCTGAGGCTTTGTCAAAACACATTAGCAGGAAAATTGTGCTTTGGGCTACAGTTTACAATCTTTCAGCACTATTATAGAATAGACTTCAGTTGAACCCTCTTGAAAACAGGCGTAACCAAAACATATGCTAAGTCCCACAAGAGGAAACATATTGGCCAAATACCCAGTGAGTGACATGAGAGTGCAATGACTGCAATGTGTACACTTGCTCCTCGTTCTCACAGTAAATTGTGTTTACTGACATCCTTGCCATTAACAAGTAGAAGGCAATAGGCTGGGAGAGCGGAGAGCGGAGAGGGAGAATCATTCATGCTCAGTAATTTGTCAATATATTCATTTTGACAGAAATGTCAATTCCTTTAACCAGTTAAGCCCCAAGCTTGTTTTTCAGGCCTCAGGCTCGAAAATGACATTCCCAGAACAATTGACTATATCTTCACTTCTAAAAGGGGTAAATTAATCATCTTTTTCCTCAAAGCAATGATAAACCTGTGAATTGGATGTAGAAAAGTCATAATCAATATAGAACTTTGTTATTTTAAAGAAATTCAGATTGAACATAGTAAAAAAAATGTAAATTATAGTGTCCGTCCAAAAATAAAACATTAGGCCTACGTGAAAACCAGTGGTGTAGTGGTCGTTGGACGCGGGGGATCACCGTCCCCCCATTTATTTGGAGCCCCCACTTTTTTTAAGCTTGATTCTTTTTGAATAGTCTAATAAATATAAATCATTGCCAGTGTTATCAGTTGCAAGTGTGTATTGTTGTAATAATGAGTAAAACATAATACATTTCACAGTAATGCAACTTGATTTGAAGCGTGTGTGTGTGTGTGTGTGTGTGTGTGTGTGTGTGTGTGTGTGTGTGTGTGTGTGTGTGTGTGCGCGCGTGTGTGTGTGTGTGTGTGTGTGTGTGTGTGTGTGTGTGTGTGTGTGTGTGTGTGTGTGTGTGTGTGTGTGTGTGTGTGTGTGTGTGTGTGAGGGGCAGCACCGTGTGTGTAGGGTGACCAGGTGTCCCGCTTTGCGCGGGACTGCACACACAGCGTTTTTATCATTTGTCCCGCGTCCCACAAATTGATATGTCAATATGTCATATAATATGTCCTGCATTTGAGTGACAGACGCGCAGAAAGGCCGGCTCGGTTCGCCGACGGCCGGCACCGCCCTTTATAATTATATTTTTCAAACGGCATCATGTAAGTTGCGCTGACAGGCGACAGAGGTCCACAGAGGTCCAAAGTGTACGATAAAAACAGAGATACAAGCACATTATTTTGAGAATAATATATGAGATATCCAGCAGTTTGTTTGCAATACATTAGCTGGATTCTACAAACCACAAACCCAGAAATCCCAAACTAGAAATTAGTCAAATTTAGAGTTTACAATCCTTTCTTCCTCAGATCATGACATGTTATCCCCAAAGGGCCTGTTTCTTTTGTAATGACTTATACGATGAGTCACAGACCAGACTGGGCATACACCAGCACATTAACACACTCCCTCACAAGAGGATTTTCAAGGCATTCGATGAGACGCTGACCCAAAGCCTGTCCCCACAACACAGCATTTCAGCAGACAACGCCAGCTTTGTCTTCACTTTGAGAAAGAGGGCAGACAAAAAGGGAGAGGGGGAAAGAACCTGCCCACATACAGTACAGTATAAAAGGCACGAGTAATGGCGCAAGAGGGGAATGCAGACAGAGAGAAAGGGCAGGGGAATGTGGTTGAAATGCAGGTCTTTTACTCACTGAAGTCTTCATGTTCTCCAGTTAAGATCAGATTTGTGATTCAACATGACAAAAAACAGAAGATTACCCTTGATGTTTCATATTAGATTGTAATAATAGATAAGGTACATTTTATGTTTGAACACAAGAACAGGCTAATTGAATCAGAGTTTCAAAACTGTTTTGGGCCAGTCACATGTTTGATAGATGCCTTAATACTATTCTATCTTATATAAATCTCTCTTTGGAAGGTATTGGAATCTCTAAATCATGTAGTTTGCCTGTTGACTCTTGCATCTTTACTGTGGTTTTTCCTGTCTGGGTTGTCCCAGTTCTAGGTAAGCAGCCAGCGGGACATTTAGTGATTGATGGTTCTGTCTGTAGAAGGTCAGGAACAGGAATTGGCCTTATCACTGATAAGAGCGGCGAGGTGAGGTGTGTTAGCTCACATTTGATTTGTTCTCTCACAATAAACTTCCATACTCAATGTGTGTGAGGAAACATATTGACACAATGACAACAGTAGGACCCCTAATGAATTAACCTTCATATCACACTTCCTTTGTCTGATGTTGGCTTCTACTTGTGGTTTTAACGGCAGCCTAAAATCATTCTTGATTGTGTTACTTTCCTTAACCTCAATGTTCAGCATGTTCAGTGTGCGACAGTAGAGGAGAACAAACCTCGCCTCAGGTGCTAAAGTAGAGGAATGACAGTGAAAGCAATGTTCTCTGACACATACACATATCAAAAACTCAGCGCCTAGACTCGCCCGGGCCACATCCCTGTCTTTGTTCTTAAAGCTGCAGCTCCAGGTAAACTAAGGAGAAACAAACGTACACTCACCTGAGGGTGTGGCGAAATGAGCTGAGTGGTAGGGTGTGTGTGTGTGTGTGTCTTTATGACACAGTAGAAACACATAGCCTGGGGATACTGATAAATACGCACCCACACAGTTTCGCAATCATATTAAACTCCAAACCTGAGATTTGTCACTAAGCAGCACATTAATGGACTTTCCCTGAGCCCTATTGATTATGTAAACCTGTTGTTAACGAAAACATAGAATGACCTGAACAAAAACACATGAAAGACAGAAGATTAATGATTGTCGACAGCAGCTCTCAAGTAACAGCAGGCCAGTTGAGTTTGACTATACATGTTGTGCTATAGCATCATTTAAAGGAATAGGTCGACATTTTGGGAAATACACTTATTTGCATTCTTGCTGAGAGTGAGAGGAAACGATTGATTCCACTCCTATATGGGTGGTATCAATCTGTTCATCTAACTGTTGTTAAGACAAATGTGATTTTGCAAGAATACTATTTGTGTGCCCTGATGAACCTGGGGGCTGTGTTGTCTGGAACCTTGTGTTCCTGGTAGGGTCTCCCATGGCAAATTGGTCTCAGGCAAGGGGCCAGACTAAGATTGGGTCAAAAGACCTCATGAAAGAACAACAAAGAAGTGAGGATACCCGGCCCGGAGGAAGCCCGGGGTCCCCTTCTGGAGCCAGGCCCAGAAGGAGGACTCGTCGGCGAGCGTCTGGTGGCCGGGCTTGCCACGGAGCCCGGCCGGGCCCAGCCCGAAAAGGCAACGTGGGCAACACCTCCGCTTCTCCGTCCCGCGGGCCCACCACCTACGGGAAACATCGATGGGGTCGGGTGCGCTGCCAGAAGGGTGGCAGTGAAAGCGGAGGGTCTCGACGGACCAGACCCGGGCGACAGAAGCTGGCTTTGGGGACGTGGAACGTCACCTCTCTGGGGGGGAAGGAGCCGGAGCTTGTGCGGGAGGTGGAGCGTTACCAGTTGGATCTGGTTGGGCTCACCTCTACGCACAGCGTCGGCTCTGGAACCTTACTTCTGGATAGGGGTTGGACTCTATTCTTCTCCGGAGTTGCTCAAGGTGTGAGGCGCCGGGCGGGTGTGGGGATACTCACAAGTCCCCGGTTAGGTGCTTCGTTGTTGGAGTTTACCCCAGTGGACGAGAGGGTCGCCTCCCTACGCCTGCGGGTTATGGGGGGGAAAACTCTGACTGTTGTGTGTGCTTATGCACCCAACAGCAGTTCAGAGTTTACGGCCTTCTTGGAGACCCTGGAAAGAGTCCTGTATGGGGCTCCTGAAGGGGACTCTTTAATCTTGCTGGGAGACTTCAACGCACATGTGGGCAATGATGGAGACACTTGGAGGGGCGTGATTGGGAGGAACGGCCCCCCTGATCTGAACCGGAGTGGTGGTTTGTTACTGGACTTCTGTGCTAGTCATGGATTGGCCATAACAAACACCATGTTCGAACATAAGGATGCTCATAAGTGTACGTGGTACCAGAGCACCCTAGGCAGAAGGTCCATGATCGATTTCGTTATCGTATCATCGGACCTGAGGCCGTATGTTTTGGACACTCGGGTAAAGAGAGGGGCGGAGTTGTCAACTGATCACCATCTGGTGGTGAGTTGGGTCGAGTGGCGGGGGAAGCCTCTGGATAGACCTGGTAAGCCCAAACGTGTAGTTCGGGTGAACTGGGAACGTCTGGAGGAGGCCCAAGTTCAGGAGGCCTTCAACTCACACCTCCGGCGGAGCTTTTCGGGCATTCCTGTGGAGGTTGGGGACATTGAACCAGAGTGGTCGGTGTTCAAAGCCTCTATTGCCGAAGCCGCGGCGGGGAGCTGTGGTCTCAAGGTCCTAGGTGCCTCAAGGGGCGGTAACCCTCGAACCTCCTGGTGGACACCGGTGGTCAGGGAAGCCGTCCGACTGAAGAAGGAGGCCTTCAGGGATTTGTTATCCCGGGGGACTCCCGAGGCAGTTGCAAGGTACCGACAGGCCCGAAGGGCAGCAGCCTCATCCGTGGCCGAGGCAAAGCAGCGGGTGTGGGAGAAGTTCGGAGAAGACATGGAGAAGGACTTTCGGGCGGCACCAAAGTTGTTCTGGAAAACTGTCCGACACCTCAGGAGGGGGAAGCAGGGAACCATCCAAGCTGTGTACAGTAAGGATGGGACGTTGCTGACCTCAACTGATGGAGTGTTAGGGCGTTGGAAGGAACACTTTGAG